GGCTGCTCTGCGCGCTTCGCGCTCAATGTGGTCCCTTCGTTACTCTTTCGGAGAAGCCCTGGAAGACCAACCTTTCCCACAGGGCGTGACGCAGACCTACATGCACGACTCGAAGCCGGAGCCGTCTCAAATGTGCCGCAAGTACATGCCGGAGATGACTCGAACCTTCTGCGACGATGAGGACATCCGGCAAACCCCCTGGACCACGCCGGCAAGTACAGCAAGGACTTGTACAACGTCTTGCAGAGTCCAGCCCATCGTGCTGATCTTTTTCGGTATGTGTACCTGTACGAGCATGGGGGCCTCTATCTTGACATCAAGTGCTCGCTGAGGATGCAGTTTGATGAGCTTCGGTCCTGCTTAGCGGAGGAGTGGGGCACTGCCCAGTCTTACGCGCATTCAGCGCTGGGGCACTGCCCGTCCCCGCCCGGGCAACTTCCAAAGGACTACATGGTCATGGTCATAGGCAACCGCGGCGATCACCATCTTTCAGGGCATCCCCCGCAGCACGGATGGAACATCTCCAGCAGATTTGGTCCGATCTACTTGCTACGGGAGCGCCACAACAAGGAATTGCTGGAACTGGAAGCGAGGCTTTGCTTGTGACCTGGCGGCCAAGGCGAGAAATGAGGCTCAAATGCTTCGCGCCATGCCGGACGCCGCGTCAGACGCAGCTTGGGCAAGGAGTCAGGCGGCTTCTCCCACGAGCTCGACCTCGGGGGCATCTGCGGAGTTGCAGATGTGGGCAGATGGACGCCCTTTGGCAATGACGTCCTTGATCTCATTCTCAAGGGGCTTTGCCTCTCTGAGGACCTCAGTTGCAGACACTACCTCAACAAGAAGTCCCGCAGGAATGTTACCTTTCCCACCAGCGTAGGGGCGGTCAACCACTTTCGTCGGGGCTCGTATCATACTTTTGCGGCGACTGCCTCCACAGTGCCAACCCAGGGCCCTGCCCAGCCCAGCCGTCACCCCTGTTCACCTGGTCGCCACTTCGGCTAGCTGTGCCAAGTAAGCGCCTGTTTTCCAGACCAGGTCTGGCATCGGGAATAGTGGACGGCACAAGACCCAAAGCTTCAAAGTCGAGGCCTCCCAGCATGCACCTCACCTCTGTTCTGGACACTCCCAAGCCCGCGGAAGTGGTTTTCAAGCCTTCCCCGTCCAGGCCCACCACCTAAGCCGAGTCTACCCAGTGGACCAAGTGGACCCCCCCAGCCCAGGCCACAACTCCCGGCGCGGCTAGCCTGGCGGACCACGGCAGAGGACACTGGCACCAGACACAGGCATTCCGGACTCTGACCCCACCGCCGGATCAGCCCCCAGTTCAGGAAGAGCCCTCTCCGCCAGCTCCACCCCCCTCTTTAAAGGAAGCGGCCTGGTTGCCGTGCTCAAATCCTACGAGCTCCAGGAGTGGCTCCGCGTCCTCTGCAGGATGCATGTTCTGACGCAGCAGATGCTGCTTGGTGGACTTGAATACGACGAACTGCTACCGCTTTGGGCCAAAAGGATGAAGGTGATACTTGCGCCTGCCCCTGTTTGAAAGCATTAAGTTGGTTAGGACCGAGAGGGGGGTCACATGGCATGTCGTTGAGACGGCGAAGAACGTGGCAGGGGACAACGGCCTGGTTGCGGTTCCTACAGGCAAGGATGAGACGTACACTGTCTTGGATTGCGGCTCCAAACTTCAGGGTGCTCTCTCCCTCTTTGGCAAGATGTGGGACCACCCGCCGCTCAGCGAAATAGTGCAGGACCATAACCGCTTCATGCTCATCGCCACCTCCAGCAAGGCCGTCTATGACTACACGGCTCGCAAAATGGAGCTACAGGCCAGGCTGGTCGTCGCACAGGACGGCAAGCACGTGCACGTCAAGCACAACTGCGGTGACTCTCCGACCTATCTCCAGCAGCATCCAGAGCTAGCCCAGACGGCAACAAAGCGTCAGCGCACACAGCATCGCAGCCTACCTCCCTCTCGAGCTCCTCGGCCTGAGTCGTCAGGGGCCCCTACACCAAGCCAGGCATCTTCGTCAATGCGGCCAACAGAACCCCCTTACCCGCCCACAAATGCAAGGGAGTCGTGGAGCTGGAGTGACTGGGGGTCGTGGAGCTCCTATGGCAACCGCCAGAGCTTCAGACTGGGAGAGTAGGTGGTCCCGCCACAGCTGATCTACTTCGAGACGGGCAAGCCGCACTGCCTCTGGCCCAGCACTGCTGACCTCCTCACAGACTTTGTGCCCGTCAAGTGAGGGATGCCCCCTTAGCAGTACCAAGGCCGCATATCTGACAGGTTTGTGGGTCGTCTAAGGCGACTGAGTCTTACCTCTTTTTGATGCATGGCCCTGCAGCTACGCCAAAAAGTAGCCTCCCTGGGCCTCTGCAGCAGCGCAGCATAGCCGTCGGAGTGCGCTCTTTCTGCCACATGCCAGGATGCCTTGGACCCACTCTGAGTAGCGTGCAGATACTAGGCTCGGGGAGGTCCACAGCGCCTCTTGCTTGCGACTGGAGCCCCAGCGACGGAGCACCCGAGTCAAGTGCGTAGAACGCCTATAGCAAATTCTTAGTGTGGCAGCCCGATACTTTGTTACTTAGCCTATCCTTTTGGCTCTCTGGATATCCCCTAGTGCGTCTTATTTGTCCTTGGGCTACGGACACATGGCTAACCAA